ACTGCACTGGATTTAGTCCCATATGGCTCTGTCTTTCTCCACAGAAGAGCTAGCCGCCTGCTGAGAGCGCCTGGCCATGCAGAGCACAAACTTCAGAGTTCCGGTGACGATCCCCAGGGATCTCCATTAAAATTGCACTCGTGAACTGAAGGGCACAGCAGTGAAACAAACCCATGACCTTCAGTGCGGAAGGCAAATGGCTTGACCACTTCGCCACGTAGGCTGAAAAGATATAACATGAGGAATTTGCGTGAAGGACTTTGCAAATGGAACGTAGCATGCAAGGTTAGACAAAATAACTACAAAAAATGGATGAGAATGGACATACCAAAATGAAAGATCTCCCACGCTACGATACCATACGACCAGGTGTCAGTCTTCACGTTGTAGACATTGGACTGCAGACTTTCTGGTGCAGCCCAGCGCACTGGCAAGGAGTTCTGAAAATGTGTTAATACATCTTAATTATCATGGTCACAGCCATCATCATCATTATCGATGCTTTCATCATCATCATCGCTGCAATCTGCCATATTAAACATATACTACTCCATTTGATCTCATTCATTATGAATCATCACCAAGCTAAGATCTTTAAAGTTTACTTTGAAAAAAAGAAAAGTTACTATTAATAAATATCACTATTGACAAGCAACAGTCCATGAAACTATGAAGTGTGATATAACAAACTATGAACTACAATTTAACATAAACAAACTATGCTCTTTAAAGCCTATTAGTATCCAAGGGACTTAAAAATAAAAAACTGCAATAATCACTATACACAAGCTTCAGTCTACAAAGTTCATTAATAAGCATAAACAACAATCTACAAAACTCACTAAAACAAGTTATTATCTACAAGGTTCTCTAACAAGAGCCACCAATGTATAAAGAAATACTGAATATAACATAAACTGTCATCAGATGTGCACAATGATAATTGAATGTTTTTATCAAAATCATCATTGGAGTACTAACAATAAAACTTATTTTGCGATGATCCAAAGAAGTAATTGCGTTGTGCCTGTTTGCATCACGGCTTCAATGTTTATGCCTTTCGGCCAACACATCCAACTTCTGCAGGCATTTGTTGACAGGATTAGCCTCTCCGGTTCTAAATGAAATAATGTTATCAGCTTCAGATATGACTGAGCTACCAGATAACAGTAGTTGGTACTGTCTTCTATTAACACTGAATGTTGGATGCCGTATATCAAACCTGACATCATATATTGTGTGAAAGTCTTCAAGTAGAGAAGCGCACTGGAGAGAACACGAGCCTTATCCTAGGATGATGAAAACTTCATGTTATGGCAGGGCAGACCAATCTCTTAGCCTTGGTTGACAGCTGGTATAGGAGGGAAGCTTCTTAGCTTTTGATCTTAAAGCTTCTGCAAGGTGTTTGTTTTCCAAATGTATTGACATTACATTTTTTTTTTGAGTACGCAACTACACAATCAGACAGGTTGGCATCCTTGAGAACAATAGGCGAGGAGAGGAGTGGGTCAAAGTGCCACCTGAACAGTTAGACTTGTGTAAAGTCATAATCACACTGAGCTGGGCATGCAGAGACTGGCCAGCAGGTGCCACAGAGGTGGAAATTCAGCAATTAATTCAAGATAATGCATGCTCAGAAGATTTGATCATTTACACAGACGGTTCAGTGTCAAGAGGAAAAAGAAGTGCTTGCGGCTTCATAGCAAAAGTTTGGTGCAGGAGAGCCTAGCATATGATACCACAACATTCAGCTTAAGAATGGAGGTGGAGGTGGTCACTGCAGTTTTCCACTGGCTAGAGAACATGACACACACACACACACACACACACATCATGATTGTAACTGACTCAAAAAGCATGCTGAGGAAGATCAGAACAGGTATGCTTCGTGCAGAGTGGCATGCTTTGCTGCGGAGGACATGAGTGAGGAGTATTGTCTGGATTTTTTCACTGGGGAATGCCGGTGTGTTGGGAAATGAACAGGCGGACTGACTGGCTGGCTCTGCACAACTTGGTGGAATACTAATACATGATAAGGCAGACGTAGTTAGTGCCTTGTGGGAGAGCGTGTACAGCTCGGAGCAACAGATGGATCACCACAGTCTGGTGAGACTGATGCGGGGACATTTAATCAGAATGCTACTGGCACCATTAGTATTGGAACTCTTCGCTGGCTGCTGAATATGGGGACGAAGCGCTTATGGGAATGCCCTAAGTGCTGTGATGTCGGTTCTTGAATCAAATCAAATCAAATCATTGAGTACGCAACTCAGGTCGAAAGAAGGATCATGATGCACGGCAATACATAGTCTCAGTACTGTCCAGGCTTTGTGCTACAGAGAAGAGGAACTGTATTCAACTGCAGTCACTCATATTTACACATGTGTACATCAGAAATTTATGAACTAATCCTAAGACCCACACAGCTATATTCATACTCACAGATTCATAGACATTTCTGTCGGTGACCTCACTAGCAAAACCAAATCCAGATAGTTTGCAGATTCCTCCTTTGGCCACGAGAATTTTACAGGAGCGGAGGCGGTAGTAGATCAACTATGGATGGAGAAAGGTCACAGGTTTATGCACTGACATACTTATCCCGGTCCTCTTGTACCAGCGATGTTGACATGCAGTATAAAAAGCAGGAGAGTATCTGTTTGTATGCATCTACTGCTGAGGTTACCAGAATAAATGAATAACTGAAAAAAGTAGGAACTGACATCACTGTACTAGGATATTCCTGCATGTACTTGGTCTGTTTCCTCCGTAGCCAAAGAGTTGTCCTACTAATAATTCAAGTTGCAATGTGAGTAAAATTCAGTCTATTCCTCAGAAATCATCTAATCCCTCTGCTCACTCCCCACCCAATGAGTCTATCCAGTTATCAGTGTATGATGATATCATAACTGGTTTATCATAAAGTAGCATACTGCCCAGAGGAATAGCAGCAGCCAACATATCAGCTTGCTCATTACCCCACACACCTGACTGGCATAAAATGCATGTAGGTACCACTTTTTAATTGTCAGTGTTGTCCATTTTAACAATGAAGCCAGTGTTCAAAATATGATATAATGGATCTCTTCAACTGGTCTCCTGCATACCCTTCTCAAGTTACCCAGCATGAGCAAACATGGCAAGTAACCTATATGAAGTCAGGTGCTTATTTTTTTAGTGTGGTTGATTTTGTATTTCATTTGAAAGGATTCAATTATTTGCTTCACTTTATCCCTTTGTTACTGTAGTAAGTACTTGGTAACACACAGCAAATGAGATGTCTGAGAAGGGTTGTAGGAGTGACCATAAGAGATAAGATCAGGAATGAGATCATAAGAGAAAAAGTCGGCACAGAACCAATTCTGGATTACAAGCGAAGACAGCAAGTGAAATGGTTTGCCCACTTAGAGAGAATGCCTTGTGACACCATACCATACAAAGCATACATGGAAAGAGAAAAAGGACGTAGAGCACGAGGTAGACCAAGAACAATATGGAAGGATAACATCAGAGAAACTCTACAACAGCACGATGTGCCTATGGTCGAGGTGGCCAGAAGAGCTAGAAACAGAACCTTATATCTCCCTCGAAACCCACAGCGGTAAAAGAGGAAGTGAAGAAGAAGAAGAAGAAGAAGAACACACAGCAAAATATGTTAGGAAATAAACTGTGCAAAAAACACAAAAATTTTACGGCATGAGAGAAAGAAGTAGACAAAGATACAGCTTGGAGCTAGATACACATTCCACAAAGAAATAAATAAACAGCAGAGACCACACCAAAAGCCACTCATATTGAACTTAAGTTACTGGTAACCATTTTGTAGTGCCTTAATATAACACTGTCCATATGTTTAAACAGTCTAACAGGGTGTCAAGGATTTGCACTGCAAATCTGGAGGGGTAAAACTTAAAAAAGAGATGGACAAACAGCAGTCTGAGAGAGTTTTTGACGAGAGCAAGATATACGAAAAGTCTGAGATCAGTTGCAGTCAGTTTAAACTGTGAAGATGACAGCTGACTAGCCACTGTGGTGTAGCGGCTAGATGATCACTTGTGAATCCAATAGTCATAGGTTCAGATCAAATAAAGCCAGACTTTAAAAACAAATACCTTGCCTTCCAGGTTGACCTAGCCTTAAATAGGTACCAGCTAGAGTCCTTGAAGTCAAGGTGAATGACAGGATGTTGACCACCTCACTCTCAGATTGCTGACTGGTCTACAAAATTATCAAATATAAGTCTAGCACTATGTGCCCAATGCACCTGAAGGCACGGAAAAGGGTCCTTTAGATAGTTAGTTAGTTAGTCGACAGATTATGCTCATTGTACATCAAATCATTCAGTCCATAAGTGCTCGGATCCCCTCCTTAGAAAATCCTGCAATATGTAGCGGCTGATGACAACAGTCCTGTGTTGGTTTCTTGTTCTTCTTTGGCTTCCTGCATAGCGCTCTTGTCTGGCCACACCCCTTAAAACATGCTGTTCTTGCAGTCTGGTCATGGTTGCAGATTCAGTCATCACATGGTTCTCACAAACGTCTAACTTCTTGTAGAGCATTCCGTATATCGGCATGGTCCATGGTACATCCGCCTGCCATGGTAGCTTTACCTGCAAGACTATCAGCTTGCTCATTTTTGTGCATGCCTGCGTGCCCTGGCACGAAAATAAACTGATATTCATCAGCCCAGACACCTCAGAGACTCAAGCCACTGTCTTCGGACTGAGCCCTTTACATCACTCTAAAGTTGACCAACTGATTGATTGAAAGATTAAGGTAAAATATATGCATTCCCTGCCTACCTTGAACTTCTCTAGGTGATCAAGGCCACTGGCAACTTGAGCAGCCAAGGCCAGTAACTTCTGCGATGTCAGAGTCTGTTTCTTGGTCAAGCTAACACTGGGCTTCTCTCCCCTGCCTATCATCACCTGGTGATGGCCAGGGCTGTGACGCTGCAGAAACTGCTGAAGAGTCCCCTCACTGGCAAGTTCCATCATCATCAGCCAGGGTTCTGTACAAAGAATATGGTTAGTTAGTTGGGTATCCTTTACAGGACGTTGCAGAACCAACCCCATCAGCCCCTGGTTGTTGTGTGGTTTCACTAGGTAGGCAAATTTACGTCCAGTAGTTTACAAAGAATATGATCAAAGTAAAATATTTCTGAGTACCCATTGGGGGAGGGGGGGGGGGAGCGTGACCCACTGCCCTTCTGGATTCTAATTAGGATATAGAGTTGGGGTTTTTCCCCGTTGATTACCTGTTCGTCAATTAATTTTAGTTATTCAGTATTGCTTAGATTATGTGTATAAAAGTAAAACTAAACCGTATAAAATTAAACCCTATAAAAGTATACCTTTTAAAAGTAAACATTATTTAATACAGACATAAATATGATATTGTGATAGAAGAAACCAAGTTTTACAAATGTTATACCATCCTTAGCCACACAGGACTGCAGAGTACATAGAGCAATGCTGGTGAAGTAACTACATGAGCCCTAATTATAATTTATTTAGGGCTGAACTGGATATCCATAATTTGCCCTGTTGGTTTGCCTTCAAGGATGAGGTTCTTCTAGCCCTTGGGGTCTGAGGCAAAAGGGGAGGGCGGGTGTCTTAAACCCTTAGCCGTCCAGAGGTAAGGAAACATCATCATCATGTAGCATGTCCTTTGCAAAATGGTCTGCCTGAAAGAAACTCGGGCTCTCACCAGCTCTCCTGCCTCATGTACCTTCAAACTCAAGGAGTCACTTATATCCTGTGCCCATCTTCGTGTTGGTCGGCCCCTGCCCTTCCTTCCTGGTACCATGCCTTCTGCTATTATTTTTCCAATCTGTTGTGGCGCTTGGTATGACCAAAATATTTCAGCTTCCTAGACAGAATGCTGTTTATTAGCCAATCTTTCTTGATGTTCAGATCTTTCAAGATGTCAGTATTTCTCCTCTTGTTTGTGGAAAGAAAACAGACAAGCTTATACAAGTTAGTATCTTAAAGTATATGGATATAATAAAAATATTTTAATGGAAAATGTATGATAAAGATTAAAAGTAGGATAGGCCGAGCAAAAAAAATTATTATATGTAGTAATAGTAGTGGTAGTAGCAGCAAAAGCAGCAGCAATAGTAGTAGTAGTTGTTGTTGTTGTTGCTGCTGCTGTAGTTATCGAGGCTTTTTTTTTTTTTCATTATTTAGAACCAGCACTTTGTTTTTAGACATCCTAGGGGAAAACGCCTGGTAGTAGTAGTAGTAATTTTAAAAAATGATATCTTGTTCGACCTATCTGAGCTACAATTAAAATATTTTTTTTTCCCCATTTTGATAGTCAAGATTTCTGCTTGTCAATTAGTTTTGCTTATTTAATATTGCACAGACAGTGTATTAACAACTCAACTCTAACAGGCAGGGACTACAGATAAATATTCAAATATCCTCCCTGGACAACTAGCCATCTATACAACCCTAAACCTAAGAAAAGTTTTAACACAATCCACACAATACATTTCACTCAAGACTTAGAGTAATTTTGAATGTAACCACAACTGCATACCACAAATCCTATATCAAATACAAACATTTTTCTTTTTCTCCTTTTCCTCCTACTTCTTCTTCCCCTTCTTTTGTGTTTTTCTTCTTCTTCTTCTTCTTCTTCTTCTTTTCCTTCTTCTTATTCTTCTTCTTTTGGGTTTGCCAGTGAAAAGTCATAGTTGTTCATTTCATCTGGACTTTGATCTTGTTCCAAGTCTTGAATGTTGTGTGCATATCCATTTTGCAAATCTGGTGTATCTGTGTGCAGAATGTTGGTTCCTTGCCTCTGGAACAGATGTGTTAGGACTCTGATTAAAATGTCAATCTTTTCTTCATTGGCTAGGCCCCTGGTAGAGAACCTGTTTCTGGGATGACTGCAGAGAGATGAAGATTGTTTTTGACCAGTTTGAGTCTGTCATGGTAAGATATAGCAGGTGGTGGCTCACCTCTGTATGCCATATAAAACAAAAAGCATCACAGGATTCCACTTTACCATTTGCTGTATAGCTGCCGACCAGTCGGATTACGTTGGCATGGGCAGGCAGCATCTTCAGAACCTCCAGCTCTGCAGTGAAGAAGTGGCGCTCCTTGTCGCTTGCTTCACCTGCACAATAACAACACAATATTTACAATACTTATGTAATAATATAATTTCAAGGGTGCATTTTGGAAAAGAGTGGTCGACCTCCATTAAGATGGATACAAGATACTGAAGATGCATTGGCACTTGTTGCTTGCTTCACCTGCACAATAACAACACAATATTTACAATACTAATATAATAATATAATTTCAAGGGTGCATTTTGGAAAAGAGTGGTATACCTCCATTAAGATGGATACAAGATACTGAAGATGCATTGGCACTTGTCGCTTGCTTCACCTGTACAATAACAACACAATATTTACAATACTTATATAATAATATAATTTCAAGGGTGCAGTTTGTGGAAAGTGAGGCAGGGGTCGACCTCCACAAAGATGGATACAAGATGCTGAAGATGCATTGACATTGAAAGCACAGAGGGTTGGCT